GGGGTACGCACTCCCTTGGTTCGGTCCATAAAGTGTGTGGGTGTACGCTGAACCTTCGGTGGAAGTCCATAAATTCTGTGTGAGTTGTGTTACCCTTGATGTAAGTCCATGAATACCCATCCTAAGAAAGACCCTAGATTTACAAATGTCATTTGATGTGCCACATAAATAACGGATTCATACACATTGGCATAACATGTGTTGTGGTAGCCGGTGAGTACTCAGGTTGATGTGCGTGAGTCTCATCTCATCTCATTTTATGGCATGACATGATAAATTCCAACATTGTACGCATATTTTCGCTTGGAATGTTATGGATTGTGGATTATTGCATGTGAACATTTCATATGCATCTAGGTTGGGGAGTAGTCTCTTTAAGAGATATTCTATTAAGTGTGGCTCCCCCTTCGTGAAAAAATATTTTAGGTGCGGGGTTCACACCAACGAACGGCTTCCAATTCGAGCCTCAAGGGTGAAGAAGGCTGACTTGTGACTTTTATGACTCATTTTGTATAACTTTTGTGAAAATTTCATTTTGGCATGTAAATATAAAAGAATTATAATCAAACTCATATGGATAGTTTTTAATGTAAAAAAAAATTGCATTTAATTAAATGTTATTATATGAGTATGGATAAATGGAGCCAGTGTGGTCAATGTTGTATATTGGACCTCGGATGGGTCATGTGATTGTATAATTGTACAGGTTGTGTTTTGGGTAGAGCTCCTCATACAAATGAGACTTTTGCCTGAATTTTGTTAAATTATGGGTTCCGATAAATGGGGCATAATGACATGATATTGAGTTACACGGTATCCACGGACATTCTGCGGGTTGATGGGTGATCAATGGGTTAACAAAGGACCCCCAATTTTTAGGGTGTTACAGTTGCTAAGAGGTTCATGTCGGAGACTTCCATTGAAAATTTCTCTATTTCAATCATATTTGCTTGAGCATTTGACTTCTTAAAATTTTGTGGCTTTTGACAATCTTTAGAGAGATGTTCGAGTTTGCCATAGTTATAGCACTTACCCTTGAACTTCTTAGATCCTTGATTTGGATCTTCACCTTTATGCTTTCTCTTTTTGCTAGTCTTTGTCCCACCTTCCACAATGTTGACTTTAGACTCCATGGAATTAAAGACCCCACTTTTATTGTCAGATTTACTTCTTCAATCTTCAAACAAACAATTAATTCTGCAAGTTTCATCTCCTTGCCTTTATGTTTGAGATAGTTCTTGAAATCCTTCCAAAGTAGTGGTAACTTTTTTACGATTGCAACCATTTGGAATAACTCACTAAGAGACATACCCTCGGCATGAATGTCATGAAAGATAACTTGAAGTTCTTGAACTTGGGTTACAATGGTCTTTGAATCCACCATTTTATAATCCAAGTATTTGCCAACAATGAATTTCTTCATGCCCGCATCCTCAGTCTTGTATTTCTTGTCCAAAGACTCCCAAAGTTCTTTTGTAGAATTGATAGCACTATACATATTGTATAATACATTGCCTAGTCCATTTAAGATATAATTTCTACACAAGAAATTTGAATATTTCCAAGCATCCACAACAATCAACTTCTTTTTATCTGTTTTCATTTTAACTATGTGCAAGGACATCCTCACTTAGAAATTTTGTAAGATTTAGTGTGGTGAGATACAAAAACATCTTTTGCTACCAACTTTTGAAGTTCGAGTCAATAAATTTCTCAGGTTTCTCTCCATGAGACATTCATGATAGTAGGAACATAATTTGTTGTAACCATTTCTGTTACACAAATATAATAAAGTAACATTCTGGTTTTAACAAACTAATTTATTGATATAACAAAATATGAAATTCTGATTTAAATTATAACAGTAATTAATCTAATTATATAATAAAGCAAAATCTTTCTTAAGATTGTTATCCAAATATCATAATTAACTACTAATTACGGTAGCAAATTCTAAATCTACTAAGTATACTGTTATAAGCAATATAATATATAAAACAAAATGTTAAAACAAAATAGTAATGCATTTTTAGTGACGCAGAATATCAATAATTAAGATAATAAGAAATTCAAAAATCCAAAAATAATTTTAGCCCTACGTAATCACAGTTTCCTTAAGACATATTTGCTCCCTCTTGGTACTTAAAGTTGATAAACAACTTTCTTCTAAGATAGAACATATTTTGTTCTTGAAAATTCAACACTTCTATCTTCAAGACTCTAACGAACCCAACTTTGTATTTTACACTTGAAATAAAACAAAAATAATAATGAAACAAATATGTAGAGAGAGAAAAGAAAGACTGAATACAAATTTTGGGATAGATTGAAAATGACAATAAGACAATCTATTTGTAGACCCTTGATGCTTGTTTGGATCGCCTGAAGAGGCACAAGACACCACTATTTATTGACCCTATTTGGATCGAAGAGAATAGTGTTAACCTGAACAATGACGAAAAGGAAAGGCACCTTTGGATTATATAGACACAAACAAAATTTAATTTTGGTGCCAAATTCAATTTAACGGACATAAAATTTAAAAATCCATTTGAATATATAAATTTTGGTTGGAAGATTAATTGTGATTCGTGTTTGGATCCATTTGATTTGACCCGCAACACGCACCACACTAAATGGATTTTCTCCAAAAAGATAATATCTTTTTGATCCAAAGCCCAAGCCTGACCGAGTCATGGCGAGGCAAGCAGACAGTGTGCGTGTGTGGTAACCAAGGTTGTGTAGGTACTCGTTTCATTCACAGAAGTATGGTATCCCTTAGGGCCCAACCCATAAAACCAACTAGGAGTATATTAACTCACCAAAATTTTGGTCTTCTTTCGATGTAGGACAAATCTTATACACTTCACTTCATTAAACTTATTTCCTTCTATCCATTCAAGGGGATATTTTGAGACATAATTTCTCATTCAATACTTAAGGGTTTTGAATAAATACATATACTACGTTAATCTCTTCGTAGAGTAGAACACGTTTAAATTCGGTTCCACCAATTTCAAAATATGAGTCTTACTTTTATTTCTTAAGACTAAGGGGTCGTTTGATAATATTTTTATTTTGCCATTTTCAAAAAAATCAAAAACAAAAACAATTTTTGTTTTGTTTTGTATTAAACATTTTGGGGAGTCATTTGTATTTTCCTTTTTATGAAAATAAAAACAAAAAATATGTTTGATAACCACTTCAAGTTATACAAATACAAATCAAAATTTATAATATCACATACAACAAAATACAAATCAAAATTCATTATCCTAATACATTCACTAATTCATCAAATAACACAAAGTAAAATAATTAGAGGAGAATTACACCCAAGACCCCCTAAGGTTTGTTACTTAATTACTCATACCACTGAGGTTTGTATGCGCATAACACTTAGACCCCCTGTTGTAAATATATCCTTTAATAAATTATACTTAGACCCTCTAAAGTTTGTAGGTATATAATACTTAGACTCTTTAAGTTTAAAATATTATATTTAGACCAAAAATACTCCAATCAAATATAAAATATCAAATATTTTAAATTTTACAACCAAAATTCATATTCTATTGTATCATTTATTCAAATAAAATCAAAAATAAAAATTTAATTTTTTTTTAAAAAATTGTAATTAATATACAATTATATTGTCTATTAGAATTTAATTTAGTCGTTTAAACGATCAAATTAAAATACTAAACTACCTCAATTAAATCTAAAAGATATTGTGTCAATTACAGTTTGATTCCTTATTTAATTTTTTTAGTTTTGTTCTAATAGACAGTATAAATAAGTCATTAAACATAGCAATATATCTTATTGGTCAACATACTATGAAATACACACATTAATAAGTAGTATCACTTAATTAAAATCACAATAATTAGTACAAATAACACAAACAGTAGTGCAAAAATAAAGACCAAATTGAAATCACAACACATAAGCATGAAAATAGTGATTTATTTCTTCTCTCAACACACACCCACATACACACACACTCAATAGATCAACACACACAACACATTTACATAACACACAGACACACACATCGACACAGAACACAGAACACACGCACATATCCCGACACACAACACATAAAAATAAATAGAATTTTTTAGGGGTAAAAGAAAAAAAGATAGGGGGACCTATTCAATGCCTTTATAATTATATGTATATACGTCGATCTAAAAGTGTTTACCCTATTGCTCACAGAGAGAGAGAGAGAAAAATTGATGGAGATTCTACAAGGATGACTTCTTCAGGTTCTGGGTTCAAAGCATCGAGGAGTAAAGCTTCATCGTCTTCTTTGGGTTTGTGTTCTTCAGGCGTCTTCGTCGTCCAAAACAAAGAAATGAGAGATGTGTATGTGTGTGCGTGACACTAGAGTGAGACGAGTGAAAGAAATATGAAAAAAAACCCATTATTTATACTTTCATAAAAAATAACCCTTTGTTGTTGTTAACAAAGATCGAAGTAGAGACTTCATTAAAAAATTTTGCGACAAAATTCGTGTGTTTTGATTTTGATTTATTTCCTGAAACATCATTTTTTGTTTTAATTTTTTTAGTTTGTTTCTAAGTCAACTTAGATGAAACTAAAATAAAAAACAATTACGTTTTTGTTTAATTTTTTTTGACAAAAACTCAAAATAAAAACTTAAAACAACAAACAAATAGCCCCTAACTTATTTAAACCCATTTTCCCAACAACAGAACTAGAGGGGCTAGCCATTTCGAGAGACACCTGGGTCCAAAGAATTTGTTTCATTGCCACTAATGATTCATATTGATTAAAGGGATTTTTTCTCTGTGGTAAGATGTTTGAATGAAAGTTAATTTAAAATTCCGGTTGGAAATGTATGGATCATGCTTATGAAATCCATCCATTGATGTTAAAATTCAAAATCCACCATAAATGAAAAAGAAAGAATATATACTAAAAGTGAAAGTGTTGATTTAGTCTTCCAAGTTCTGACACAAAAACAAAAAACAGGACACTTTTCTTTGAAACTGGCTGAAAATCACGTGATCTCCCTCCTTTCCCCATGTTCCATTAATTTTTCTTTTAAACTACCATTACCATAACTACTCTCTCTTTCACTCTCTCACGCACTCTCTTGTTCCTTGCTGCTGTTATTCTTCATACATCTGCATACACCCCACTGTGGGTGGTTTCACTCTCAGATCTGTCTCCGCCGGGCAAGGTATGTGTCCTTGTTCTTCTTCATTTCTCGATTCTGTCGTTAATGGGTGTTCTCAGTTTTTCCTCATGGCTTTGCTTTTGTCAAAATTTCCTTCATTTATTGTTATTGGTTTGTGTTTTCTGTGTTTATTTTTCGTTTGTCCTTTGTGTATTTGTGCTCAAACTGGTGCAAATTTGATTGTGTTAGTATTGATTGAGCTGTTTATTTTGTGTAACCAGCAATGGATGTTGCTATTTCCCTTTTCTAGTTGAGATTGTTTTTCTGGGTCGACAGTTTGTCACTGCTTCATTTTTGGGTCTTTTTGTTTTTTTTGTTTTCTCCCAAATTTACGGTTCATTTGAGATATATCCACTTGTTTTTAACTTCTAAAGGCTTTTGCTTTTTCTTGCTTCACTTCTTTAGTCTGTAAACTACTTTTTGGGTTCTGGGTGTATACGCATTCATACCTGCCTGGTTTATATTCATGAACATGTAGTAATGCTTCTATTTTGGGTATTGGTTATATATTACTTCACGCTATGTTGGTGGTTTTGGTTAAGCTATTTTGTGGATTTTTCACTTGTTTTCTTTCAACATTTTTAGGAAAATGGGTTTGGTATCCCGGAAAATATTCCCAGCATGTGAGAGCATGTGCGTATGCTGCCCTGCACTGAGGTCACGATCCCGACAACCCGTTAAGCGCTACAAGAAACTGCTCGCTGACATCTTCCCCAAATCCCCTGTGAGTATACACTTTCTTATTTCGTCTACCCGAGTGGCTCATAATCAAGAAAGATTCTTAATTAGAGTGATATTAATGTCATGCCAGAGGGTCATTGCTATAAATGAGGCTTCAGTGAACATTCTTAGAGTACAAAACTATACATGTGAACACTTCTCTCATTCAAAACATTCTGCTGCACGGAGTTCTTTGGTCCACATTGTTAGTCACCCTTTTAGGGTTCCTGATATTTAGACTAAACTACACCCACGACTAGAACATGATGTTCACATTTCTTAGGGGTTGAATACAAGTTTCTTGAAAAAAAATGTCACAGATTTTGCCACTTGAAGCTGATTGCCTTCTCAAACCTTGTTGAGGCTAAAATGTACTCAAATTGAACAGGCTGCATATTTTCACCTTCAGAATATTTGTGAAAGCATGTGACTTGTTTTGCATGTGCCTTTTTCATAGCTTTGTGAGTCCCAGACTACTATAATTGTTCTTACCAATAACTAGAAGGTGGGAATGTAACTCGAAAATTTCCCGTGCAGGATGGCGCTCCAAGTGAACGGAGAATTGTGAAGCTATGTGAATATGCTGCAAAAAACCCTTTTCGAATCCCAAAGGTATTAACTTGGCTCAGTTTGATAGTATTTGAACAAGCAACAGTGGGTTTCTTGGATGGAATTGTTTTGAATTGCTTGTATATTATACTACTTATCCTTGATTAGATTGCAAAATATCTTGAAGAAAGATGCTACAAAGAGCTTCGATCTGAGCACATTAAAGTCGTCAATATTGTGGCAGAGGTTTACATTAAATTGTTATGCATGTGCAAGGAGCAAATGTAAGTTGTTCTTTCTTTTATAAAATCTTTGCATTTGAGTCTGAAGTTTACTCCGAAGTAGGAGCAGTTGGGTTCCATGAGCCATATATTTTGGGGAAAATCTTGAGGTCATTCCTTTCTTGTTTTTTGTGAATTTCTTTATGGGGCTTTTGATTTCATTTAAAAATCAAAAGCTTCAAGGTTCTATTAACAGAGTTTTTATATAATGTGCGCGCGTGCGTGTGTGTGTGTGTGTATATATATATATTGATAGAAAACAGGACTTTCATTTCATAGAANGTGCGTGTGTGTGTGTGTGTATATATATATATTGATAGAAAACAGGACTTTCATTTCATAGAACGAAAGATGTAAAAAGAATTATAGAAATGGTGGATAAGAAATCAACTACAAGCAACCTTCCAATTGAGTTTCAAAACAGCCAAAGGGATATTACAAAAATCCTTGGTCACCTTTGCCCAAAAAGAAGCCACAAATTTCAATTTTTCCCATAAACATTCTTTTTACTCCTCCTTCCCTTCAAAAATTCTTCCAATTGAGTTTCTATAATATATTAAGATACACTGTANATGTTGGTGGTTTTGGTTAAGCTATTTTGTGGATTTTTCACTTGTTTTCTTTCAACATTTTTAGGAAAATGGGTTTGGTATCCCGGAAAATATTCCCAGCATGTGAGAGCATGTGCGTATGCTGCCCTGCACTGNAAGTTGGTGGTTTTGGTTAAGCTATTTTGTGGATTTTTCACTTGTTTTCTTTCAACATTTTTAGGAAAATGGGTTTGATATCCCGGAAAATATTCCCAGCATGTGAGAGCATGTGCGTATGCTGCCCTGCACTGAGGTCACGATCCCGACAACCCGTTAAGCGCTACAAGAAACTGCTCGCTGACATCTTCCCCAAATCCCCTGTGAGTATACACTTTCTTATTTCGTCTACCCGAGTGGCTCATAATCAAGAAAGATTCTTAATTAGAGTGATATTAATGTCATGCCAGAGGGTCATTGCTATAAATGAGGCTTCAGTGAACATTCTTAGAGTACAAAACTATACATGTGAACACTTCTCTCATTCAAAACATTCTGCTGCACGGAGTTCTTTGGTCCACATTGTTAGTCACCCTTTTAGGGTTCCTGATATTTAGACTAAACTACACCCACGACTAGAACATGATGTTCACATTTCTTAGGGGTTGAATACAAGTTTCTTGAAAAAAAATGTCACAGATTTTGCCACTTGAAGCTGATTGCCTTCTCAAACCTTGTTGAGGCTAAAATGTACTCAAATTGAACAGGCTGCATATTTTCACCTTCAGAATATTTGTGAAAGCATGTGACTTGTTTTGCATGTGCCTTTTTCATAGCTTTGTGAGTCCCAGACTACTATAATTGTTCTTACCAATAACTAGAAGGTGGGAATGTAACTCGAAAATTTCCCGTGCAGGATGGCGCTCCAAGTGAACGGAGAATTGTGAAGCTATGTGAATATGCTGCAAAAAACCCTTTTCGAATCCCAAAGGTATTAACTTGGCTCAGTTTGATAGTATTTGAACAAGCAACAGTGGGTTTCTTGGATGGAATTGTTTTGAATTGCTTGTATATTATACTACTTATCCTTGATTAGATTGCAAAATATCTTGAAGAAAGATGCTACAAAGAGCTTCGATCTGAGCACATTAAAGTCGTCAATATTGTTGCAGAGGTTTACATTAAATTGTTATGCATGTGCAAGGAGCAAATGTAAGTTGTTCTTTCTTTTATAAAATCTTTGCATTTGAGTCTGAAGTTTACTCCGAAGTAGGAGCAGTTGGGTTCCATGAGCCATATATTTTGGGGAAAATCTTGAGGTCATTCCTTTCTTGTTTTTTGTGAATTTCTTTATGGGGCTTTTGATTTCATTTAAAAATCAAAAGCTTCAAGGTTCTATTAACAGAGTTTTTATATAATGTGCGCGCGCGCATGTGTGTGTGTGTATATATATATATTGATAGAAAACAGGACTTTCATTTCATAGAACGAAAGATGTAAAAAGAATTATAGAAATGGTGGATAAGAAATCAACTACAAGCAACCTTCCAATTGAGTTTCAAAACAGCCAAAGGGATATTACAAAAATCCTTGGTCACCTTTGCCCAAAAAGAAGCCACAAATTTCAATTTTTCCCATAAACATTCTTTTTACTCCTCCTTCCCTTCAAAAATTCTTCCAATTGAGTTTCTATAATATATTAAGATACACTGTATGCAAGTGAATGGCTTTCTGTCAAGCATTGATGATTTGCTAGATCTAGGTGTGGTTACTTGGAAAATATTCTATTCTTTTTCTGGACTAAAGTGGTGGAAAATGAAATTCAAAATTAGTCTTTCAGAGAATAAATGTGTCAATTTTATTTTATTTTATTTTATTTTGCAGGGCTTGTTTTGCTGTTCATCTACTGAATGTAGTGNCAGAGAATAAATGTGTCAATTTTATTTTATTTTATTTTGCAGGGCTTGTTTTGCTGTTCATCTACTGAATGTAGTGGTGGAGCTGTTGGATAATTCTAAGCGAGATGCTGTCCGGATAATTGGATGCCAAACTTTGACTAGGTTCATTTATACTCAGGTAAGTTTTCCTGTTATTTTTCAGAAGATACGAAAGGAATCACTTTAACATATAGATGAGGATGTTTACTTTGTGAATAATAAATTCAAGATATTTCACTGAATTTGACATTTTGTTATGCGTATGGTAGTTAGCATAAGGACATCACTACAATGTCTCGTTTTTTGTCCATTATATCTGGAAGCTATAATCAAAGATAGTTTGTTCAATTATATGAAGAATCTGAGATGGAAATAATGTCTGATACCAACATATTTTGGAGGAAATGCTGCTGCTTTAGTTTTTGTTTTTAATTTTAAATAACCCAATTTTATGGCTTGCCTATCTACTAGTTGTTATTGTGTGCAATAGTGATATATGCTATAACAAGAGCCAAAAGATAATGCTGGTCAGATAATCAAATCTGATGAGCATGAAATCTGTTACTTTGAAGACTATAATCTGTTACATGAAATCTCTGCCAGGGGAAGTTTGAGTGTCCTTTGAAGGGAAGATTGTATTTTTATTTTCCCTTTACATTGGAAGTCATCTATCAACCTTAATTATAATATCATTGCAATAAAAAATTAGAAGTATTGCAAATAGTTGGTTTCATTTCCAAATGAGGGACTCAGGAATATATATTATTTTGATTTCTGTTACTGTAGTTATATTAATGAAGGAAATTACAAATAGTAAATTAACACGAATAACTCTTTAGCCTTCATTTGGGTTTCTCTTCCACTTGGGTAGATGATTAACTAAACATGGAAAGAAAGATTGAGATTTTCGGGTAGGAGAATACTTGAGTTATACATGTTGGATAAATAATCTTAAACCTAAGACTTTTCTGTTCCTGATGATTGTAAACAGATGGGATGTGATCTCAGCTGTGAATTATCCATAGCTAAGTCTCTGTCTAATTATAAAAGGAAAATATCATAATACCAGGAATAGTTTCTCACTAGCAAACTCATTTTGCAAAAATTGGCATTGCTTCCGCTATACACTCATATTTGGACATATGTATGGACAGGTAGACGGAACCTACTTGTTTAATATAGAAAACTTAGTTCTAAAAGTATGCACACTAGCTCGTGAGGCTGGGGAAGAGCATCAAAAGCGCTGCTTGAGGGCATCAAGCTTGCAGTGCCTTTCATCCATGGTACCTTGATATTCTAATTTCCTCCCCCCCCCCCTTCTCTGCAGATTAGAGACCAAATTTTTTATCTTAGATTTTGATAAGTATTGATGACCCAAATTTTACAAAGTATTCCGCGTATATATGGCAATTTTTTCTTAGAATTTGCCGAGTAATTTTTTTTAATTATTCTGTTTTTCTTAGGTCAGTTTTTTTCCAACATAATACTATCTCTTTGGTGGGGTTTTCCCTCTGCAGGTGTGGTTCATGGCTGAGTTTTCTCATGTTTTTGACGATTTTGACGAGGTTGGTCTTTTGAAGATATTCAATGCTGTCATGGAACTCTTTTGGTTTCTAGAAACGATTTTGGAATTTTTCAATATCTCATGAAAATTGATCGTGTCCATAATCTCAGAAATGTTAGTACAGTATGAAAGCATTAGTACAATGACAAAAGAGGTAGTCAGAAATGGAATCATTCATTGAATCTAGGATAATAATAAGTAACTAGAAATGATGTATTGCTGAAGTTTTTTTTTATTGAATCTCAAATTTTTTGTTGTGACGAATGTTGTAAAGTTTCTCCTGTCGACTTTTACATGTCTCCATTTTAAAAGACATCATTTGTCACTTTCTATTTTGTTAATAAACATCAACCTACCTTGGTGATCTAATTGTTGGTGCACTTGTCTGACAAATTCATAGTACTAGTATCTGGCTAATTGTAATCAAGTCAGACATCCGAAGGAATTTTACGGACAAGTTCCATTGTGTGGAAAACATATGTTTTGCAAGGTTCTTTGGTGGGCAATTGATCTGTTTAAACGTTCAATCTTGTATGTCATCAGTGGCATCTTGCAAGGAGGAAAGTCTTATTCTCTTAAAGTTTGCTATTCTTCTAATGAATCATCAACATTAGATCCAATAACCAGTGCACCGTTGCACTCTCCTTGGCCAATTCAACCATCCTTTGTATATATATTTGAGCCATGTTGTGTAATCTTCATTTCTTTTTCCAATCTTTATGAATGTATTTCAGTGTTGTTTAGTTTTTTATGAAAGCATTGTGGTTCCCATTCTCGAATGAATTATGCATGGCAGTAATACCTTGTTGTGTATTTCCGAATTGCAGATTGTACATGTGACTTTAGATAATTATGAACGAGGCACACCTAGTGAGGAAGATGATGAAAGAGGGGACGCACATCATAATTGGGTAGATGAAGTAGTCAGATGTGAAGGAAGAGGTGGTGTTGGTAGTGAAATTAGTCCTAGTTGCATGATCATCCGACCACAACCAGAAAAGAAAGATCCTACTATTTTAACAAGGTTGTAGTCATGAAAAAACAAGAAGGAAAGCTTGCTATGCCATGTTTTTGGAGCTTCTAACTTGACTGATACGAAACATTAATACCCTGTCTTCCTCTATTTCCCTTTCATTAAATTGGTTGTTTCTATATGCTCCAGAGAAGAGGTTGAGGCACCAGAAGTATGGGCTCAAATATGTATACAAAGGNTATTTCCGAATTGCAGATTGTACATGTGACTTTAGATAATTATGAACGAGGCACACATAGTGAGGAAGATGATGAAAGAGGGGACGCACATCATAATTGGGTAGATGAAGTAGTCAGATGTGAAGGAAGAGGTGGTGTTGGTAGTGAAATTAGTCCTAGTTGCATGATCATCCGACCACAACCAGAAAAGAAAGATCCTACTATTTTAACAAGGTTGTAGTCATGAAAAAACAAGAAGGAAAGCTTGCTATGCCATGTTTTTGGAGCTTCTAACTTGACTGATACGAAACATTAATACCCTGTCTTCCTCTATTTCCCTTTCATTAAATTGGTTGTTTCTATATGCTCCAGAGAAGAGGTTGAGGCACCAGAAGTATGGGCTCAAATATGTATACAAAGGATGGTTGAATTGGCCAAGGAGAGTACAACAATGCATCGGGTATTGGATCCAATGTTTGTCTACTTTGACACTCGGCGGCATTGGGTTCCTCGGCATGGGTTAGCCTTCATTGTTCTATCTGATATGTCATACTTTATTGAGAGTCCAGGTGATTTAATTTGTCCTACCTCCTCTCTGTTCACTCAAACTTTACTTGTAAATTAATGATATCTATGAAGCACAGATACGGACATGGGATCCAGATATGACAGAGCACAGATACGCCAACACGACAAATCCCAACAAAAAAAAAAAAAAAAAAGACACTGGACATGTCTCGGCCACACTGCCATAATTAATGTCTTCAACAAAATATACATACATATTTCCGAAAAACATGAATATTATCACCTTATGCTAATTACATCTTCTACGTAGTAGTGTAACATAAATATCAATAACAGCCCTATGGTTGAAGATATTGGTAATCATCATTTAGTTTCATGTGCTTGCAACAATGGCTCAATTGGACAAATTAATTTGTTGCAAATGTTCATGATGGCTGGATTATAAATCGGTGATTTTATTGGGATAATAATAGGTAAAGTAAGTGATTGCTGCAAGGAACTGGATAATACAGAAAGGATTTAGTAAAATGAAGCTTAATGAATCTAGTCATGTATTTGAGTGCTTCATTCAGATAACTACGTTGTCACTCTGCATCCCGAGATCAATTCTTATTAACCCTCCATTTTACAGTTTGTTCACTCAATTTATACTGCATATGTGCTGCAAACCACTACTATTTGGGTTATAGTATCTGTATATCATCTCTAATTTGATATCCATAAGAACTAGGCTGATCTTAGACAGTTTACTAAAGCTTATTTCTTCTGATTTCAGGGAATCAACAATCAATTTTGGCTGCTGTTGTTCGTCATTTGGACCACAAAAATGTTTCACATGATCCTCAAATTAAATCACTTGTCCTTCAAACTGCAAGTGGTTTGGCTCGACAGGTTAGATCTGGAGCTGTGCTCTCAGATAGTGGATTTGTCAGTGACCTTTGCAGGCATTTGAGGAAGAGCCTTCAAGCAACAGGAGAATCAGTTGAACCGCAAGAGTTAAATTTCAACATTACACTCCGAAATTCGATTGAAGATTGCCTACTAGAAATCGCTAGAGGGGTAGATTCTGTTACATATGTTTCAAAGTGTTGCTTTATTTGGGCTTCTAATGTACTTGGCATTTTATTTGATCTTATTAGATTTGTGATCGTGGGCCACTATTTGATATGATGGCGAGAACACTGGAGAAGCTTCCAGCTGTTAAAGTTGTTGCTAGGGCAACCATTGGATCATTGATCATTCTTGCTCATATGATTTCACTGGCATCTGTCTCTTCACAGTCACTGCAGGTTAGATGCTTTTGATTTTCTTGTGAAATTTTTTTATAGAGAGTTTGCATATGAGCACAGTCATGCTCTGATGTTTCTGCCATTCACCAATTTCTCTTTTGAGCTTCAGCTATTCGTGAATTTACTATCCTTTCTATGATCTTGTTAGAGGAAGGACACATTTAAGGGAAATTTTTTCAGGAATGGGATTTTTTCAGCTTGATTAAATTAGGTTTATATTGAATATTTGATGCCTAATGCATACAAGGAAAAATTATTGGGTAATTGCATCTTTTCAGCTCGCAATTTATTGGAATAATTAATTTTTTACAACCTTAAACAAGTTTTTTTTTTAACTGTGGTTAGTGGCTGTTTCATGTCATTTAGGAAGTGCAAGTATCTTAAAATATAGTTGAAAACATGATAGTGCAACTTTATTGGGAAAGATTTGCATCAATGACTTCTTTTTTGTAATTTTAAGTCAATTTCCTTTCAAATTTTGCCCTTAGAATGAATGGTCACTGAACATGTTATTGAACACTGTTGTGTAGGTGTTTCCAGATGCACTTCTTGTTCAGCTTTTGAAAGTAATGTTGCATCCAGATGTTGAAGTACGAGTTGGAGCACACCAGATATTTTCTGTACTTCTTATCCCATGTTCTAGTTGTTCAAGACGTGATGTTTCGAACCATACAAGGAGTTGGCATTCCAATACCACATCTGTGTTTGCTTCAATTACTGCTTTACTTGAGAAGCTTCGGAGGGAAAAGGATGGAAATGAAGTAGCAAAGCATGGAATTAATGTTCATGATAATTTTAAGGGAGTGGAAAATGCTGAAGAAGAATGGAAGCAGGGGAGGGCCCACAAGAATTCCCCTAATTTCCAAAAAATTAGTTCTATCATTGACAGGACTGCTGGATCAACTAGCACAGCTGAGGCTGTAAGAATCGTCTCTCATTTTCTGTAGGATACATACACGTATATTTCTGCTTTAGAAACTAACTTGCTACTACCTTGCTGAAATAGCAATTAATGTAAACATGTTCTCTCAATCTCCAATAAAATGGACTGACATTTTGGATTGGTGCAGGAACCATCTATTATGAAATTTAGTGAAGACCAAATGGCCCAGCTGTTGTCTGCCTTCTGGTTACAAGCCAATCTTCCAGATAATCTACCTTCAAACGTTGAAGCTATAGCTCATTCTTTCTGTTTAACACTTGTGTCATCACGGCTTAGGGTGAGCATTTGAATAAGCACAAATTTTCTCATCTTTTTCCATAGGAGGATATGAACAGAAAATTGATACATTTAATAAATTAAAAACCACTATAAACAGAGACTGCCCAATTCTGAAAATACTACCAAACAATGAAATTAAAAATTACATCAAAGTTAAAGAAAATCTTTCTCATGGTATTCTCTTGTTTTTGTTATGGAGTCTGCCACATACTGAAACAGATCAAGGGCATATTTGAATCTTCTGATTGAAATGCTCCATATATTGTCTGCATACCTTTTGGTAGTACAAGTTAGGTTAATTATTGTGCCCTATGGAAAATGGGGGTCATTGTGATCAACATAAAGAAACTAAGCTAATATTAAAATAATACAGCCAATACAAAGATTATTACACCCTTGATCATGAAATTTTTGATTGCTTGTTGAACCCTCTAAATTGCATGAAAGTAGGATACTCCAGCACGGTGATTCTCCCATTTCAAAAAAGGACGTACCAAATTCTAATAGAATGATTTGTTAGAGTGGCTTTGTGCTTAATAATAACAATCTATAGATGCTGTTAGAATAGTTATTATATTTAGACTTAGGAGTAGTTTAATAATTTTTTTTTCTTTTATGTTGCCCTAGCTTAGTTTACTATATAAAGACTTTTTATATGTAGTTTTCCTTTAAGGTTGTTCTGGCTTATTGTGCTTTAATAATATTTTGTTCTTATTTCTCTTACTTTTCTATGATTGATCAAAGTTAACATGGTATTAGAGTTATTAGAGCATGGTTTCGATCCAAAATATATATTGTAGCACCACAGTAATTTAGTTGGCGGAAGAATNGACTTTTTATATGTAGTTTTCCTTTAAGGTTGTTCTGGCTTATTGTGCTTTAATAATATTCTGTTCTTATTTCTCTTACTTTTCTATGATTGATCAAAGTTAACATGGTATTAGAGTTATTAGAGCACGGTTTCGATCCAAAATATATATTGTAGCACCACAGTAATTTAGTTGGCGGAAGAATATATTCTTGGGTTGTGTGATTTGAGGGCTAGTGATTGATGGATTGCTATTTTTTTGTAATTCTGAGGGCTGTGAACAGTGCCAAAAACACTGTTCATCGGATGAACAGTAGCAAGTACTGTTCACTTAAGTGAACAGTGCCTAAATTACTGTTCACGCGTTGGATTTCGATTTTTAGTGCCTTTTTGGTATTTTGTTACTGTCTTGCTGTTTTGCTGCCTCTATTTGTCTTCTGGACTATTGAAAGTTATGGAATTTAGGTTGTTTAGTTGCTGGATTGCTGGTTTGATTTATTGGCTTGAGATGCTTGTATTATGGCCTATTGAGCGTCTGCTTCTTCGTTGGTTTCTGGTCTGTGAAGTTTGAACATTGGGATCTGTTGTTTGTTGACTTGCTGCTGCCTCTTCTTTTTTGCTGGTGTTTCTTCTGCTTCTTCTGGTTGTTTCTTCTTCGTTTGCTGCCGTTGCTTTGGGCTTTTGGACTGACTTGTTGATTGGTTGGTTTTATGCATTGGTGAGTTGTCACGTTGCTGGTTTTTGATCTTGCTCGTTTGGACTTGCTATTTGACATGACGTTACATTATTTTGCACTGAATAAGCAGGAAACTTTTGTTTCCATTTGCATTGTNATGGCCTATTGAGCGTCTGCTTCTTCGTTGGTTTCTGGTTTGTGAAGTTTATACATTGGGATCTGTTGTTTGTTGACTTGTTGCTGCCTCTTCTTTTCTGCTGGTGCTTCTTCTGCTTCTTCTGGTTGTTTCTTCTTCGTTTGCTGCCGTTGCTTTGGGCTTTTGGACTGGCTTGTTGATTGGTTGGTTTTATGCATTGGTGAGTTGTCACGTTGCTGGTTTTTGATCTTGCTCATTTGGACTTGCTATTTGACATAACGTTACATTATTTTGCACTGAATAAGCAGGAAACTTTTGTTTCCATTTGCATTGTTTCGCACTGAATAAGCAGGAAATTTTTGTTTCTACTTTTGATTGGTGGGTTTGAGCCTTTGGGGCTGATTTTGTGAACGAACTGCTGGGTGAGTATTTGATTTGCAAAGTTGTTAAGTTGATTTGTGGCGAACTTTAGATTGTTTGGCGTTGACTACTTCTTTTGGTTCTAATTTTTGATTTTGACTACTGCTGGTTTGGGACTAGTTCTAGTTTGTTTGTTTTTTTTTTCTTTGTGGTTTTTGTTGAGCTTTGGTTTTCTGTTGGACCTCTCATTGCTCTTTGATCGTCTCTGGAACTTCGTGCTTACTTTGATGCGGTCTGGGCTGGTGACTTTATGAATCGCAAGTCCACTATTGGTTTCTATCTTTTCATTGATGATTGTCTTATTTTGTGAAAAAATAAGAAACAAACTGTTGTGACTCGATCATTTGTTGAAGCTGAGTATCATGCTATGANTTTGTTGGACCTCTCATTGCTATTTGATCGTCTCTGGAACTTCGTGCTTACTTTGATGCGGTCTGGGCTGGTGACTTTATGAATCGCAAGTCCACTACTGGTTTCTATCATTTCATTGATGATTGTCTTATTTTGTGAAAAAGTAAGAAACAAACTGTTGTGACTCGATCATTTGTTGAAGCTGAGTATCATGCTATGACCTTCATAACAGCAGAGATAGTTTGATTGTATTGGCTACTTGTTGATCGTTTCTTTACGAAATCTCATACCATCGCACACTTCTGTTTTCTTCTTAGCAAACTCTTGATGTTTGATGTTACCACATCATGAGTTTGAGGGAGGGTGTTAGAATAGTTATTATATTTAGACTTAGGGTAGTTTAGTTATTTTTTTCCTTTTATGTTGCCCTAGCTTAGTTTACTATATAAAAACCTCTTATATGTAGTTTTTCTTTAAGGTTGTTCTGGCTTATTGTGCCTTAATAATATTCTGTTCTTCTTTCTCTTACTTTTCTATGATTGATTAAAGCTAATAGTCGGCAGAGTTCCTAGGGTTTGCTGTTCTTTCCTTCTTCTCCAAGGNGTAGTTAAGTTATTTTTTTCCTTTTATGTTGCCCTAGCTTAGTTTACTATATAAAGACCTCTCATATGTAGTTTTCCTTTAAGGTTGTTCTGGCTTATTGTGCCTTAATAATATTCTGTTCTTCTTTCTCTTACTTTTCTATGATTGATTAAAGCTAATAGTCGGCAGAGTTCCTAGGGTTTGCTGTTCTTTCCTNATTGCACGTATCGTGCGTTTTGTACCGATACGTATCGTATCGTAAAAACGTATCGTGTATCGGACGATACAACGCNTTACTTTTCTATGATTGATTAAAGCTAATAGTCGGCAGAGTTCCTAGGGTTTGCTGTTCTTTCCTTCTTCTCCAAGGGCCTATGTGGGAACTGCCAGACGGTACTATGCCAGCCAACTGGCGGAAAAGCCCGACTTACAGAGGGAAGTTCTTTTAGGAAGAAGGGCGACTAATGATGATGGTGGTAAATCCTAATAAGAGTTGGTTTGTGTTTGGTGGCAAAGAAGAAATGAAGTGGTTTTGATGTTAGCTTAAGGTTTTATATTTAATTTGTAATCCTGTTTCTGTTATTACCAAGTTTTGGACATATATGACTACATCTCATGTTTCTATTTAGTTTTTTTTTATTGGATTGAAATTCTGTCTGGAAGCAAAAAAAAAAAAAAAAAAAAAAAAGACTAAACTTCCCCTAAGTCTAAATATAATAACTATTCTAAAAGATGCTATGTGAATCGTAATTGAGCTGTTCCCTTACGGCTTACGCCACGTAAATGCTTCTACTAGCAATATTTCTTAATCATTAGGTGCCTTATCTATTGTTTTTAGTTTGCTTTTTAAAATTCTTTTACCAACTATACACGTGCATTTTATACATGTGAATTATATGTGTGGTGCGCCTAGTCATACGATGTTTCAAACTTACCATGTTACAGAACCCCAATGACATCCTGGTGGTACGCTTCTTTCAGCTTCCCCTGTCACTAAGGAAGATGTCCTTGGACTCTAACCAAGGTATGGGAAATTGAATCTCTCAGAGCCTTTTGAACATCAAGAAGGATAAAATTTATTTACATGTTTCTACCTTGTGGCAGGAATGTTGCCTCCAGCTTATCAGAGATCACTACTTATCTTATCAACCTCAATGTTGATGTTTGCTGCAAAAATGTATCAGATTCCTGATGTGAATGATTTACTCAAGTCATTATTTAATTGTGATGTGAGTTTTTATTTGTTATGCATTTATTGCTATTTATCTTGACTGACTGTATGAATGGTGGTGAATTTGAATGACAAAATAGGATTGCATTTGTTAATTTTGATTGTAAGAACTTTTATTTGTATATCATTAATTATAAATGAGTTTTTTATAACTTTAACTATTGCTGGGAAAATTGATGTTTTGCATATTTGTTTTTGGGTAAAAAGCAGCATAGTTATTTAGACAAAAACAAATTATGATTCAAATTGATCATATCATCAACTTGACCAACGATGTCTTTAGTTGATTGATCCCCACTTTCTTTTGGTTTCATTAATTCTTTTGTATTTTTGTATTTTTTTCACTGGGAAAGAAAGGAGATTGGGATGCGTACTTTTTCTGGATCAAATTCTGTTGGGGCACTTCTTGTAATCTTCTAATGGATGTTTATGCTTACAGCTCCAGGGTCGGCTTATGACGACTATATTTTGGCATGTATGTACTCATGAATGCTTGTGTAGTTTTCATGCTATATATTACTCGGTACTAGGGACCGAGTCTTCTTAGAGTGCAGTATTGGAAACTCAATTAATTGTTATGTGAAGAAATGCAATGCTAGATGGCATTACGTATCTACTGTCTTAAAACTCCAGAGCTGCAATAGAGCTAAAAGCAAAAAATGACAATGCAATCCCAAATGAGCATGTAAATAAAGGCATTTAGAGTATTTGATGCATGTTCCATAATTGATATCATGGATTACTAGAACCAATGTTTTATCCTCATAGATCTCTTTCAAATAATTGTTTACATCCCTTGCGGTAAGTGTTAAATATGTCTGTTTGCCTTTTAGTTTTGGTGTGGGTCAGTCAGTTAATTTTGTCTTATAGTATGTGAGACTGCAAGCTCAATTCAACAACCTTCGAAATGAATCTGGTACATATTCAGGTTGATCCCTATGTGGGCATCAGTGACGACTTCCAAGTTTATGCAAAGCTTCAGGCGGATGTGAGAGAATATGGTTCGACCACTGATAATGAAGCAGCTGCATCCTTGTTGTTTGAGTTACAGAATAGGATATATGAATCTGAAAAGATCACACTAGAGATCTTGGTTCGGAATCTATCAAGCATTACTGAGGTATTATTTATAATTATAAACCTGAGCTACACTTTTTTTGTGTTGATGTCTTCCGCCTTGCCTTGTACCTCTGTGTTTGTGGGTGTATGTGAGTGTGCCGGTATGTGCGTGCTTGCTCATTTTTAAGAAATGGAAGTGTGTACAACTTAATTTGCTTATGTCTATCTTTGTGCTTTAGCTGGAGACAGATGACCTAATGAAGCACATGTCAGAAACATTCACACCTGATGATGCATTTGTGTATGGTCCACATTCAATGCTTGACTCGGATCACGTACAGGCATCTGCATTCTCCAAGGAATCTTCTTTTGATGGGGTATGTTCTTCTGTGTGATCCTTTTATGTCTTTGATTGATCTTTCAGTGACCAATATGAAGTTGCTGTTATGTCAAATTTCCCAACCTTGATTTATCTGCCTCTAAGTACTGACGTGATTATTCCCAATCTTACATGCCCCTGTGCCATGGCAACTTACATTTCTTTATGTGGAGCACATGTCCTGACAATGATTTAGTAAATAATTTTTTGTATGTTTTTTGCTGACTGCAGGATTTCCCTACTAATTCATTTGAGGATGATGTGACCAGTGAATCATCTGTTGTTGACCTCTCCCGCTTTATTCCCAGAATACCTCCATCCCCAACCCCTTCCATGTCTCACATTGTTAGCATTGGGCAGCTTTTGGAATCAGTAATCTCTCTCTCTCTCTCTGTGTGCCTGTGTGTGTGGGTCATTTTTTTTGGGGGTGAGAGGGTGTCTGTCTGTGTTCACTCTGTGTTGAAACATATGATGCTCTCAAGTCAAGATCAGATCTGCTAGATTGGATTTTTTTATGCTCTTAAGTAAAATGTGAGCCCAATACAGACTTTAAAAAAATGTTAATAATTTTTGGGAAAACCCTGTCAATTCAGTTAAAGCTGTGGGGTGTGGAGGATGTATATCATATGGTCCAACTCGAATTATGGCTTACAGTTGACCAAAGACATGGTTTTGGTCCAACAAAAGGGTATACAAAGTTTCAGTGTTCACTCTTCCATTGCAACCTTGAGAATTCCATGTAGTTGAAACCTTTGACATTCTTTTTTCCTCTGGTTGAGAATTCTCATTTATTGTTGTCTTTTAGCCACTTCATATTGGTATTACAGGGTCAGACTGCATGTTCTTTCACCTGACATGATTTTGATAATTTCCGAAATCCGTAGTTGACCTTTTTTGTGGTTTCTTTGAAGTTTAAACAGGAAAAACGAAGAAAATGAATCCCATTGGTTTATGAGAATTTTCGTAAAATCCAGTTTGCTTTTAACAACTTTAGTCTATGGGAATTCCTTGGATTTGAGTTGGTCACTCTGGGATATTTCTATTATCTCTTCCTAACGTCAAACTCTGAAATCGTACACATTATGCATTTGGCCTCTACCCACAAGATCTGTACTTTGGTAGTTCTTCCCATGTGCAACCAAAAGAATTCAAGCATTGCACTCTCACACTTACCCGGTAATCCATTGCCCATGTTTAGTATCTGAAATATCGTGGTGGTTGTTATAAATCATGTCTTAGAAGACGAACTGCCCTGCATGCTGTCCCTGGGCCCTATATAGGTCTGAGCATGCATCTCATTCCTGAGTCAAAATAATAATTGTTTTCAGGCACTCGAGGTGGCTGGTCAAGTGGCTGGAACATCTGTCTCAACTTCACCCCTTCCGTACAGTGCCATGGCTAGCCAGTGTGAAGCTCTTGGCGCATATTCAAGAAAGAAGCTCTCTAGTTGGTTGAACCATGAATCCCACCACACAAAAGGTGCTGATATTCTGTTTCCGGCATTCCCTGAAGATGGACGGTCAACCATCAAGAAGGTGAGCATAGATAGTCTTTTAAATTTGTTTCAATTGACCCAAAAGTTTGGATTTGTGATGTCGGAAGTGCTTTCATACCTACTAGACAACTTAGAGCTCATTGTGTATTCTGTGAAGCTTTGATAGTTTGATGGAAATATTAGGAGCCAAGCATATAGTGCAATACGAAGTTCACGTAATGAGCACATAACCCAAAGTAGTAGTTTGTAGTTTTATTCTTATATTATCGTCTGAGGGTTGAGCTCCATGAATTTTGAATTGTTTGGAAAAATCTAAAATTTGCACTTGTTACGAGTCTCATGACTTGAATGTGTATTAACAGATTCTACATGTCTAATATGTATCACTTGTGTATATAGATTGCCGGTGAAGGTGAATCTGTCCAAGGAGCTTTGCTGCCAATGGACCCATGGCTGGCTCTCAGGTTGCCTCCTGCAAGCCCTTTTGACAACTTCCTCAGAGCAGCCCGGGGTTAGAACTGGNATGACTAAACTACCCCTAAGTCTAAATATAATAACTATTCTAAAAGATGCTATGTGAATCGTAATTGAGCTGTTCCCTTACGGCTTACGCCACTTAAATGCTTCTACTGGCAATATTTCTTAATCATTAGGTGCCTTATCTATTGTTTTTAGTTTGCTTTTTAAANAACTATTCTAAAAGATGCTATGTGAATCGTAATTGAGCTGTTCCCTTACGGCTTACGCCACGTAAATGCTTCTACTAGCAATATTTCTTAATCATTAGGTGCCTTATCTATTGTTTTTAGTTTGCTTTTTAAANTCCAAGGAGCTTTGCTGCCAATGGACCCATGGCTGGCTCTCAGGTTGCCTCCTGCAAGCCCTTTTGACAACTTCCTCAGAGCAGCCCGGGGTTAGAACTGGCTTTAAGCGGTCTCCATCTGAATTTCCTAACTTATTTCTTCGGCTATGTGAGTATGTTACCTAACTTGTAAAGGTGTAGACAGTGATTAGGATGTCTAGCTCGGTATCTGCTTTAACCAAACATCTAAGGGCCTCTGTACCCGGCCATTCGTTGTATCCACTATTTGCACTGTACTAGTAGCTAGTTATAGATCTTGTGTTCTATGCCCGGTTGTATTCTTGTATGCACTTCTGTCTTTCCACTACTTTTGGCATTCACGGGGCTAAAATGTAAGTCTCTCACTCTCTCTCTCTCTCTCTCTCTCTCTCTCNAAATTCTTTTACCAACTATACACGTGCATTTTATACATGTGAATTATATGTGTGGTGCGCCTAGTCATACGATGTTTCAAACTTACCATGTTACAGAACCCCAATGACATCCTGGTGGTACGCTTCTTTCAGCTTCCCCTGTCACTAAGGAAGATGTCCTTGGACTCTAACCAAGGTATGGGAAATTGAATCTCTCAGAGCCTTTTGAACATCAAGAAGGATAAAATTTATTTACATGTTTCTACCTTGTGGCAGGAATGTTGCCTCCAGCTTATCAGAGATCACTACTTATCTTATCAACCTCAATGTTGATGTTTGCTGCAAAAATGTATCAGATTCCTGATGTGAATGATTTACTCAAGTCATTATTTAATTGTGATGTGAGTTTTTATTTGTTATGCATTTATTGCTATTTATCTTGACTGACTGTATGAATGGTGGTGAATTTGAATGACAAAATAGGATTGCATTTGTTAATTTTGATTGTAAGAACTTTTATTTGTATATCATTAATTATAAATGAGTTTTTTATAACTTTAACTATTGCTGGGAAAATTGATGTTTTGCATATTTGTTTTTGGGTAAAAAGCAGCATAGTTATTTAGACAAAAACAAATTATGATTCAAATTGATCCTATCATCAACTTGACCAACGATGTCTTTAGTTGATTGATCCCCACTTTCTTTTGGTTTCATTAATTCTTTTGTATTTTTGTATTTTTTTCACTGGGAAAGAAAGGAGATTGGGATGCGTACTTTTTCTGGATCAAATTCTGTTGGGGCACTTCTTGTAATCTTCTAATGGATGTTTATGCTTACAGCTCCAGGGTCGGCTTATGACGACTATATTTTGGCATGTATGTACTCATGAATGCTTGTGTAGTTTTCATGCTATATATTACTCGGTACTAGGGACCGAGTCTTCTTAGAGTGCAGTATTGGAAACTCAATTAATTGTTATGTGAAGAAATGCAATGCTAGATGGCATTACGTATCTACTGTCTTAAAACTCCAGAGCTGCAATAGAGCTAAAAGCAAAAAATGACAATGCAATCCCAAATGAGCATGTAAATAAAGGCATTTAGAGTATTTGATGCATGTTCCATAATTGATATCATGGATTACTAGAACCAATGTTTTATCCTCATAGATCTCTTTCAAATAATTGTTTACATCCCTTGCGGTAAGTGTTAAATATGTCTGTTTGCCTTTTAGTTTTGGTGTGGGTCAGTCAGTTAATTTTGTCTTATAGTATGTGAGACTGCAAGCTCAATTCAACAACCTTCGAAATGAATCTGGTACATATTCAGGTTGATCCCTATGTGGGCATCAGTGACGACTTCCAAGTTTATGCAAAGCTTCAGGCGGATGTGAGAGAATATGGTTCGACCACTGATAATGAAGCAGCTGCATCCTTGTTGTTTGAGTTACAGAATAGGATATATGAATCTGAAAAGATCACACTAGAGATCTTGGTTCGGAATCTATCAAGCATTACTGAGGTATTATTTATAATTATAAACCTGAGCTACACTTTTTTTGTGTTGATGTCTTCCGCCTTGCCTTGTACCTCTGTGTTTGTGGGTGTATGTGAGTGTGCCGGTATGTGCGTGCTTGCTCATTTTTAAGAAATGGAAGTGTGTACAACTTAATTTGCTTATGTCTATCTTTGTGCTTAAGCTGGAGACAGATGACCTAATGAAGCACATGTCAGAAACATTCACACCTGATGATGCATTTGTGTATGGTCCACATTCAATGCTTGACTCGGATCACGTCCAGGCATCTGCATTCTCCAAGGAATCTTCTTTTGATGGGGTATGTTCTTCTGTGTGATCCTTTTATGTCTTTGATTGATCTTTCAGTGACCAATATGAAGTTGCTGTTATGTCAAATTTCCCAACCTTGATTTATCTGCCTCTAAGTACTGACGTGATTATTCCCAATCTTACAGGCCCCTGTCCCATGGCAACTTACATTTCTTTATGTGGAGCACATGTCCTGACAATGATTTAGTAAATAATTTTTTGTATGTTTTTTGCTGACTGCAGGATTTCCCTACTAATTCATTTGAGGATGATGTGACCAGTGAATCATCTGTTGTTGACCTCTCCCGCTTTATTCCCAGAATACCTCCATCCCCAACCCCTTCCATGTCTCACATTGTTAGCATTGGGCAGCTTTTGGAATCAGTAATCTCTCTCTCTCTCTCTGTGTGCCTGTGTGTGTGGGTCATTTTTTTTGGGGGTGAGAGGGTGTCTGTCTGTGTTCACTCTGTGTTGAAACATATGATGCTCTCAAGTCAAGATCAGATCTGCTAGATTGGATTTTTTTATGCTCTTAAGCAAAATGTGAGCCCAATACAGACTTTAAAAAAATGTTAATAATTTTTGGGAAAACCCTGTCAATTCAGTTAAAGCTGTGGGGTGTGGAGGATGTATATCATATGGTCCAACTCGAATTATGGCTTACAGTTGACCAAAGACATGGTTTTGGTCCAACAAAAGGGTATACAAAGTTTCAGTGTTCACTCTTCCATTGCAACCTTGAGAATTCCATGTAGTTGAAACCTTTGACATTCTTTTTTCCTCTGGTTGAGAATTCTCATTTATTGTTGTCTTTTAGCCACTTCATATTGGTATTACAGGGTCAGACTGCATGTTCTTTCACCTGACATGATTTTGATAATTTCCGAAATCCGTAGTTGACCTTTTTTGTGGTTTCTTTGAAGTTTAAACAGGAAAAACGAAGAAAATGAATCCCATTGGTTTATGAGAATTTTCGTAAAATCCAGTTTGCTTTTAACAACTTTAGTCTATGGGAATTCCTTGGATTTGAGTTGGTCACTCTGGGATATTTCTATTATCTCTTCCTAACGTCAAACTCTGAAATCGTACACATTATGCATTTGGCCTCTACCCACAAGATCTGTACTTTGGTAGTTCTTCCCATGTGCAACCAAAAGAATTCAAGCATTGCACTCTCACACTTACCCGGTAATCCATTGCCCATGTTTAGTATCTGAAATATCGTGGTGGTTGTTATAAATCATGTCTTAGAAGACGAACTGCCCTGCATGCTGTCCCTGGGCCCTATATAGGTCTGAGCATGCATCTCATTCCTGAGTCAAAATAATAATTGTTTTCAGGCACTCGAGGTGGCTGGTCAAGTGGCTGGAACATCTGTCTCAACTTCACCCCTTCCGTACAGTGCCATGGCTAGCCAGTGTGAAGCTCTTGGCGCATATTCAAGAAAGAAGCTCTCTAGTTGGTTGAACCATGAATCCCACCACACAAAAGGTGCTGATATTCTGTTTCCGGCATTCCCTGAAGATGGACGGTCAACCATCAAGAAGGTGAGCATAGATAGTCTTTCAAATTTGTTTCAATTGACCCAAAAGTTTGGATTTGTGATGTCGG